GACAGATGGTCTGACGTAATCGTAGTGGTTGGTGAGGGAGAAGGGGGGGGAGGGAGGAGGGAGGAGGGAGAGAATAGGGAGGAAGGGGGAGGAGGGGGGAGTGGGAGGAGGGAGAAGGGAGGGAATAGAGAGAAAGGGGGAGGAGGGGGGAGGGAGGAGGGAGAAGGGAGGGAAGAGGGAGGAAGGAAGAGAGAGGAGGGAAGAGGGAGGAAGGAGTAGGGAGGAGGGAGGGAGGAAGAGAGAGGAGGGAGGGGGAGAACAGAAGGAGGAGGAGGAGGAGAGCGGAAATTGTTGGGAGAGGGAGAAGGGAGGAAGGAGGAAGGAGCAGGTAGGACGGAGGTGGGAGGATGGAAAGGTGATAGAGAGAGAGAGAGGAGAACGAGACATAGGGATACGGAGGGATATATATATATATATATATATATATATATATATATATATATATATATATATATATATATATGCATGCATATATATGTATGCATATATATATATATATATATATATATATATATATATATATATATATATATATATGCATGCATATATATGTATGCATATATATATATATATATATATATATATATATATATATATATATATATATACATATATGTATGCATATATATATATACATATATATATGCAGATATATATATATATGTATGCGTATATATATATATATATATATATATATATATATATATATATGCATATATATATATATATATATATATATATATATATATATATATATATATGTATGCATATATATATGTATATATATATATATATGTATATATATATATATATATATATATATATATATATATATATATATATATATATATAGATACACAGACAAATAATCGAACAGATAGAAAGAGATAGAACAAGAAAAAAAAACAAGTGAAAAAAAAACGAAATAAAATGCTGCATCACAAGCCCCTACAATCTGCTGAGCAATAGCAGCGCATAAAACCACCAGGAAGGCCACGCAAACCACCCAATCACCTGGTCACTGAGTTCTTGCATTTCCCGGGTAGGAAGGGAACGAGCGAAGGGAATGACAACGGATTCATAGGAATAGGAAATCATAGGAGAGGCGATTTATTACCAATAATTAGAAAAAAATATAGGAATAGAAAATCATAGGAGTAGAGGTTATTACCAAGGAAGAGAGGTGATTGTGTTAATTCGTACTTTGAAGATTGGATAATCAGGTATCTCTAACTGGTAGTTGAAAGTGATTTGGATTAGTGTGGTTGATAATTTGATAATTGAAGAATAAATGGCTCTTTCAACGTTGGCTTGTGACGTCACAGGAGGGTAGGCATTATTCACATAAGAGAAAACTCTTTCTGTGTATGTATGGTATATATTGTTTACGCAAAAAAATCTTCTATGTATGTATTTGTGTATGTATAAAGAAAATTGATTAATGCACACACACACACACACACACACACACACACACACACACACACACACACACACACACACACACACACACACACACACACACGCACGCACACACCTACACACACACACAAATACCTACACACCCACATACACACATCCAGGAAGAGCTAGTAAAATGACCAGTGACAAACATACAAACACCCCTTCCCAACACCCCCCAATCCTCCCCCCCCCCAAAAAAAAAAAAAAAAAAAAAACTTTTATGATCATCTACATATATAGTATGCATGAGTAAGTGAAAGGTTCAACAGGTATATATATATATATATACACATGTCTGTCTATATACATATATATATGTACATACCGGGTGAATTTGTGTGTGTCATTGGTCACTTTACATACTTCTACTGGATCTGAATGTTTTTTTTTTTCAAGCAAACTATGCATCATAAAGAGAAAGAAAAAGAGATAAAAAGAGGGTATAGGAAACACAAAACATAAAAACGACCAAACAGAAGAAGGAACAAAAGCAATAAAGGATATAAAACGCAAACAGAAAAAGAAACGAAACACAATGACACATTATATTAATCACTTACTTAATTAGACTTAATTAATTAGGGGAAAGGGGGGGGATACAGTGATAAAACGTGGAATACACACAATAGGATAAATAAATAAGAGGACGGCGAGGGGAATGAGAGAGCGAACGGAAGGAATAACGAAGAAAAATATGGAAAAAAATGAAAATGAAATGGATGGAGAGGAGATGAATGGAAAAAGAGAAATGAAGAAGATAGACAGAAAGGGTAGGCGAGGATGTATACGAAGAGAAAATAGGGGGACGGGGAGTGGGGAGAAGAATAGGAAAGAGAGAAGCAAATAAATATGGAGAAGAAGTAAGGAAGAAGGAAGAGGAAGGGAAGGTGGAGAGATAAAAGCAAGAAAAGGTATACGAGAAGAATGCAACGAAAGGTAAATATCCTAAAATGTAGAGAGAGAATGGGCGGAAATGGGGGGAAGAGGGGGAGGGGAGGAGGGTGAGGGAGAAGGGAGGAGAAAAAAGAGAGTGGAGGGAAGGGGAAAAAAGAAGGGAAGAGGAGGGCAAAGAGAACGGAGAGAAGGGGAGAAAAAAAAGAGAAAGGAAAAAAAGGGGAAAAATAGAGGAGGGGAGGGAGGGGAGAAGAAGGGAGAGGACGTGAGAGGAAAGAAAGGAGAGGGGGGGGGGGAAGGTGAAAGAGAGGGGAGGGGAGAGGGAAGAGAGGGGAGGGGAGGGGGACGGTTCCTCGCCAGCTGGTTGATGTGACTTCCCCATTAGCGGAGTGAGCGTCGGTGGGCGAAGAGTGAAAGCTTCTTGACATGGGTTGTTATAGTGTATAGATGGCGACACACTGACAAGGAAGGGGTGAAAGGGGGTTGGTGGGGGAGGAAGGGGAAATGGGAGGAGATAGAATAAGGGAGGGGAAGGAGGAGGTTCGGGGAAGGGAAAAAAGGGAAGAGATAAAATAGGGGAGGGGAAGGAGGAAGAAAAGGAGGAGGTTCGGGGAAGGAAAAAAGGGAAGAGGGACGAAGAGGAAGAGGAGGAAGGGGTAATGGCAAGAGGAAGAAAAGGGGAGGGGAAAGAGGAAAAAGAGGAAGAGGAGGAAAGAAGAAAAGGGGAAAGAGGATAGTAGAAAGAAAAAGGAAATAGAAAGAAGAAGAGGAAAATGAAGAGGAGGTTAGGAAAGGGAGGGATTGGGCAAGAGAGGAGAAAGAAGGAGGAACAAGAAAAAGAAGAGAGGGAGACGGAAAGAGGAAGAAGAGAGGAAGGGGGAAAGGGGGATGGAGGGAGAGAGAGAAAGAGCAGGAGGAGGAGGAAGAAGGAGTAGAAGAAGGAAAGAGAAAGGGGGGGGGGGTAGGAAGTCGAATGTGGAACAGGAAGAGGAGCAGGAGGAGAAAGAAGAGAGAGGAAGAGGGGTAGAGAAAAAAAAGAGGAGAGAGGAGGAGACGGAGGGAAAAAAAGGGAAAGGGGGGGGGGGAGGAGAGCACGTGAAAAGAGGTAGGCGAAACAAAAAAAGGGAGGAAGAAGAAGAAGTAGATCGGGAGAAAGCAGAGGGGGAGAAGAAATGGAAAAGGGGAAGAGAAAGGTGAAGGGAAAAGGAAGAAAAGAGAGAAGAGGGAGAAGAGGAAGAGCAGAAGCAAGGGGAAAGAAGTGAAGAAGGAAAGGAAGGAGAAAGGAAAGAAAGGAGAAAACGATGGAAAAGAGAAGTAAGGAGTGAGGAGAGGAGGAAAAGAGGTGGAGAAATAAAGGGTTGGGAAAGGAAAAACGAAGAACTGAGGGAGAAAGAAAGGAAAAAAATCGAGAAGAAAGAGGAACCACCAAAGAACGAATAGCGGAAGGAGAAAGAAATAAAAAACGAAGAAGAAGAAGAAGAGAGACCAGAAAAACGAGAACAAAAAGAAAGTTAAGCAAAGAAGGAAAAACACAAACCACATGAACAATACGAACGAGATAATGAAAGTGCCATTGTTTACTCCGCGACCAACTGGCTCTCGGGTCAGAAGGCCTCCTACAACGACGATTATTATAACGCTTGAAAGTAGACGAAGAATTAGGGGTCTGAAAATAATAACGAAATGAGCCAATCTCCCATTTTCTATATCAACTTACCTCTTTGCTTTGTTGGGTTACTTGTTTATGCCGTTTTGATGGAATTCTTTCATTTTATTCATATATTTTTTACTTATTATTATTTATCTTTTATTTTCTTACTTTTTACTTTACGTTTATTGTTCACATTTTATATTCACTTTCTTTTTTTCGTTTATTTTACATGATTTGCTTTTATTTTACCTTATCATATTTATTATATCTTTATTTGCTCGATTGGACTTGTTTATTTCTCACTTATGCATTTACTACATTTCCCTAACTTATGAGAAATACAAAATTTTAGCCTAGTTATGTATCTGTATCATCCTTACTTACATACTGAATTACTGCTTATTTTCTCTATTCACTCTACTTACATTGAATATACTTAGCCTACTCCTTTATTTCAAATTCCTTAATTCTTACCCATTTCACATCCATTCTATTTTCTTCCTTCAATAAAATTCAGCGAAAGAAATGTCTTATTTCAGTTGTAACGAGGAAGAAAAGGAAACTATCAAATCACGTGTTTTGTTGGTAGTCACCAGTTAACGTGAAGTTGTTGGTGTTTTGAAAGACAGTGTACTTTATTTTTGTAGTACATGCTTTATGTTGCTTGTGTGTGCTCATTACGCTTTGTATGTAAGTATCTTTTATTAGGTATTTTATTTCATTCTTAAATTTCCATCTTTCTCTCATTTTTCGTTTTCTTTTTTTAAATGGGAGTGGAATTTCTCTGAGTTTTGTTTCTCCTGAGTTTGGTGTTTTATGTTTATTTACTTTCTCATATTGATGTAGCGGTGTGCATCATGATTTTTTTTTTTTTTTTTTTAAATTTGGCCATTTAATTCTTTCGTTTATTTGTTTGTTTGTTTTTGTTATTATTTACCCACGTTTTCGGCTAAAATGCATGGAATGTCGCCGACCCTACAGCTGATGTACAAATAAACAGATATACATACAAGTAAAACACACACACGCACACCCAATCCCCTCCCGCACACACACACACACACACACACACACACACACACACACACACACACACACACACACACACACACACACACACACACACACTACCCCCACCACCCCCTGCCAAAACACACATAAACCCCCACCTTCACTATAATAAAACCCCTAATTTTACAGGAAAAAACACAAATATCAAGGAATTTGAATTACTTTCTCTGTAATATTTGCTTAGCACTGTCTATTTTGCGTTACACCAAGTCATTGTTCAGAGCACGTGTTTCTGGTCCTGTGCTTGTCATTAAGACCAACGGAATTCATGTTACGATTGCCAGGTTGTTCTATATTGTTTTTATTGTCTTCATGTTGTCTGCTTTTTCTTTGTCTTATTTAGCATTGTGAGTATACTGATTTAATAATTTATAAACTTACTCATGATATTATTTTATTACACACACACACACACACACACACACACACACACACACACACACACATATATATATATATGTATATACAATATAAACACATGCACATATATAAAATTACATAAACACAATATATATGTATACATACATACATACATACATATATACATCCATCCATACATGCATACATACATACATACACAAATACACACACACACACACATATATTTATATATATATATATATATATATATATATATATATATATATATGTGTGTGTGTGTGTGTGTGTGTGTGTGTGTGTGTGTGTGTGTGTGTGTATTTATATAAACACAATATAAACGCATGCACATATATAAAAATACATAAACAATATATATGTATATACATATACACAGATATGTACATCCATCCATCCATCCATCCATACACACACACGCACACACATACAATATCAGAAGTCCATAAATCAGCGCCGCCACTCCTTTCCCCAGGAAACAAGAGCGAAAACACAGACCGGAACACTTTAGAAATACCGCCATAGTCGCTCTTGCCTCAGCCTTCCTCCCTACATCTTTCTCTCCCTCACTCCCTCTTTCTCTCCTTCCCTCCTCCCCCTCTTTCCCTCTCCTTCCCTCCCTACCTCTTTCTCTCTCTTCCACCCTCTTCCTCTCCCTCACTCCATCCTTCTCTCCCTACCTCTTTCTCTCCCTTCCTCCTCCCCCTCCTTCCCTACATACCAATTTCTCTCCCTTACTCCCTCTTTCTCTACCTCACTCCCTCCCTCCATTTTTCTCTCCATTTCCTTCCCTCCCTACGTCTTTCTCTCCCTTCCTCCCTCCCTCCCCCTTCTTTATCTCCTTCCTTCTCACCCCCTCTCTCCCTCCTTCCATATCTCCTTCCCTCCCTCCCTCCCTCTCCTTCCCTCCCTCCCTCCTCCTTCTTTATCTCCTTCCTTCTCACCCCCTCTCTCCCTCCTTCCATATCTCCTTCCCTCCCTCCCTCCTTCCCTCTCCCCCTCCCTCCCTCCTTCCATATCTCCTTCCCTCCCTCCCTCCGCGCCGCCGCTTTCAGTAGACCTCTCTCTCTTAGCCGTTCCTATTGCGTGTCTATAACGACTTTCCAAGATGGCGGCGTTATAATTGGCCATCCCATCGCTCCTTCAAAGTCTCCGGGAGGCGGCGGGCGAGGTGGCGTCTGCGGCCATATCAGGAGGGGGGTGGGGGAGGTGGGGAGGTAGGGAGGTGAATGAGGTGGGGAGGTGGGGAGGTGGGGAGGAAAGCAGGTGGGGGAGGTGGGGAAGTGGGGTGGGAGGGAGGGAGGGAGGGAGAAAGTTTTCCTGCTCGGCGGCGAGTTCTAGGGGGAAGGAGTGCGGGCGGGAGGAGAGGGAAGGGGAGGGAGGGGCCATGGAGAAGGATGGAGGGGAAATTACTATTCGTATGATTTATTAGAAGTGGTACATTCTCATAGGAGGGGAAGGGTGGAAAAGGAGAAGGTGATATGTATATATATATGTGCATTCAAATATATATGTATATATATATATAAATACATATATATATACACATATAAACATACACACACACACACACACACACACACACACATATATATATATATATATATATATATATATATATATATATATATATATACATACACACACACACACACACACACACACACACATATATATATATATATATATATATATATATATATATATGTATAACATACATGTTTGTTTATATTTTTACTTATATATGTGCATGTATTCACAACTTTTACATGCATTTTCTTCATATCTATATCTATATCTACATCTATCTATCTATCTATCTATCTATCTATCTATCTATATATATATATATATATATATATATATAAATATATATATATGTGTGTGTGTGTGTGTGTGTGTATAAATATATGTATATATTATATATGTATATATGTGTGACTATATGTGTGTGTGTGTGTGTATGCGCGCGTGAATAACTTGCAAGTAGAAAATTCAGAAAATTACGCATGTATGTTAACACACACACATATCCGTCTCTCTGTCTATCTACTTATATATGTATATTGTTTTATTTAACACATGTATACTTTCTCAATCTCTCTCACCACACACACACAAACACATACACACACATAAATACACACACACACAAACAAACACCCCCGCCCCACACACACACACATATACATATCCATCGAAACAAACCGAGAACACGGACCGAAACCCACATACATAAAACAAATACAAAACGCCCGCAAATACATAAAACTTCAGCCACAGTAACATCCACCATAAAGAGAGTCTCCGAAGTAATTACGATCACTTAACAAGAAAATTGGCGCGGAAAACGTTAATGTTTTGTTTTTGCATAGTGTTTTCCTTCCCGACAAATAGATGGCAATTCTGGACATAAGGCAGATTTTGAAAGTTTTAATTGGCTGGTATGTATGTTTATTTCCCCTCTATATATGTGTCCGTATTATCTCCTTCTCTCTCTCGGTCTTTCTCTCCCTTTTCTCTCTCTCTCTCTCTCTCTTATTCTCTGCCTGTCTATCATTCTCTCTGTCTCTGTCTCTTACTATCTCAATCTTACTCTCTCTCTCTCTCCCTCTCCTCCTCTCGCTTTTCCAACTTGCCTCTCTTCTCTCTCAATCTTTCTCTAATGATAATGACACTATTAATAACAATACAAAGGAAATCATCCTAAAATTACCACTAATGGCGAAAACGGTCGCACACGTGGCAACAATTATCACAATAAAAGTAAAAGTGATATTGGATATATTAACAAGGGATTTCGAGACCCGTTCAACTGTTACTTAACACTAATCGATTATTACGGAATCAGTAATGACTACAGCATTAGCGAAAAAAATACATTGTTGGCACCAATTAAACTCAAGCTCAATTATTTGTTTAATGTTCCGAATGGTTGTAGATGTGATTAGTGATTTTCTCATTACCAAGAGGAAGAAGAAGAGAAAGAGAGGCCATAGGAAGATGAAAGTGAGGAAGAAGGAGATGAAGAAGGAAAAGTAATAGTAGTAGTAGTAGAAGAAGAAAAGGTAATATTGGTAGTAATAATAGTAATAATAGCAGCAGTGGTAGTAGCAGTCATAATAGTAGTAGCAGTAGTAATAATAGTAATAGTAGAAAAAGAAAAAAAATAGCAATCGTAGTGGTAGTAATAGAAGAAGAAGAAGAGAAGGTAGTAGTAATAATAGTAATATTAGTATAAATAGTAATAGTATTAGAAGTGGTAATGACAGTGATAATAATAGAAGCATTAGTATAAAAGAGGAAGAGGTTGTAGTAAAATTATTAGTATTAGTAGTTATAGTAGTAGTAGTAGTAATGGTAATCATAATCATAAATAAGAATGAAAAGGATCAGGGGATGGGGAAGAAGAAGAAGAAAGAGAGAACAAGAAAATCAACAACAAAAAAATAATAAGAACAGTCCAAAAAACATGAAACAAAAACCCAAACCCAAACCCAACTAAACTATAGATCCTACTACTTCATAAACGCGGCCAGACTGTCTCCCAAGTCATGTAATGATCCATATATAAACATTACACGGCGACGCTTAACGGGAGCAGATGGTGTTTGTTCAAGACTCCTCGGTTTCTAGAGAACAGGGCCTTGCGAAATGGATGTGAAATTGCCAGGGAGAAAACCTAGTGTCTGGAATGGTTGTTTTGCTCCCCTAGGCCTGTATGTGCATATGTGTGTATTTGTAAAATTAAGTATATGTGTACATATATATTCTAAGTTTGATGTGTTTTTGTGTGTGTTATTATAATAATTTTAAGTATCTTCAGTGTTATTATTTTTAATAATGTTATTAAATTCATTATTGTCATAAATACTCTTAGAATTATTGAAAATGACATTATCATTATCCTAATTTATTTTCTTTATCACCAACGTAATTACTATAAATATCATCACGGATATTATTGTTCATATCATTATTCTGTTATCATCATCTGTCATCGGTTTTACTAAGTCTTTTATCAGTTTTCTATTAATAAATCTTGATTCATATTTCACAAAAGAATATACCTTGCGAGCTCAGTTCAGTGACTTATTTTAGCACACTTGTTGCAGTGTTTGAATTCCATGCAACTTTTATCTTTTATTGCAAGTCTTTATGCCATTGTCGACTTATTTAACCTGCTTGTAAAACTTTCATTGTGCGATTTTATTTCTGACGCAGTTTATATTTTGATATAAAAAGAGAGGGCGGGGATTAAGAATAGAGTCGGGGGGGGGGGGGGGGGGGAATTGTGTATTTATTAGTAACGTGAAGCTTTTACTTCCTCTATTTAATTTGAATTAACTTTAGACGCAGATTTAGTTTCTGTGGAAAGGTTTTTCAAGAGTAATGCAAATCTTCAAAACCTTAAATCTGGCTTATATTCCAGGCCTGCGTGCTGCTGGTCCAGGCCCAAGACCCTTCGCAGAACTACCTGGACGGGGGAACAGACAATGTGAGTTCGCCATGCTTTCTGGACGTTGCCTCGGAGACACACAGACACCGCCAAGAACGTGCCATGCCTATTCACCTTCTGACACATGACAAGGATTGTGATAACTAATGACTTCCACGAGCAGCACCGCTATTTTGCGCCACGACCTAACGCGAAGGAATGGTTGTACCAGGCTTATAGCACCACGTGAGAGCTGTGGCAAAGTTGTGGTGAATATTCCCTAGTCCGAGACTACAACCTGGCCACAGACACACGGCTTTGCATGGCTTGCCTGACGCTCAGCCTGCTTTGAGACTTTGACACGACGAAGGTGGACGACTATTATCTACTTCACAGTGGATAATGACATATGGCCAGTGACGTTCCAGAGAGACACAGACTGATGTCACAGAATACAGACAATTGAGACTCGTTATATGGCTAAGTATCTTTATTTTCATTTGTGGATTCTGGGGTCTTGCATGCTGCTTGCACCACTCATACACAATAACACTGGCTACACAAACACATATATAAGCACACCCAAGCTCTAACATGTTTGTCTATATAATTACACACATAACTAGATAATCATAGCTTAACTCAAGTAACATAGAACGGCAATAGATCACAAAGAGATAAGACATGTGGAATAATGTGGACGAGGTTACTAAGCACCATCACAGAGTAAATGAATTTTGAATTGAACAGCATGATAAAAGCATGCAGAGGCGAAACCCGAGCATGTTGTTGCACGACTGAAAGGTTTGGGACACACACACATATATGTATGTATATATATACATACACACACGCACACACACACATATATATATATATATATATATATATATATATATATATATGTATATATATATATATATTCACACAAACACACACACATATATTATGTTATATATATATATATATATATATATATATATATATTCACACACACACACATATATATACACACATACATATACACACATACACACACGCACACACACAAATATATAATATATATATATATATATATATATATATATATATATATATATACATATACACACATATTCTGTATACATTTATCTATTTCCATATATATACATATGTATATTATATACACATAAATATATATGTATATATACACATACATACATATATATATCACACACACATACATACATATTTATATATATATATATATATATATATATATACATATATATACATATATATACACACACACACACACACACATATATATATATATATATACATATATATATACATATATATATATTATATATATATATATACATATATATATATATATATATATATATATATTATATATATACATATATATGTATATATATATATATATATATATATATATATATATATATATATGGATATGCATACATATACACATATATGTGCATATACATACATTATATATATATATATATATATATATATATTATACACACACACACACACACACACACACATATATATATATATATATATATATATATATATATATATATATATATTATATATATATGTATGTATGTATGTGTGTGTGTCTGTAGGTATGGATAATATATATATATATATATATATATATATATATATATATATACATATACATATGGATAATATATATATATATATATATATATACATATGGATAATATATATATATATATATATACATATACATATGGATAATATATATATATATATATACATATATATATATATACATATACATATATATATATATATACATATATATATATATATATATATATATATATATGTATATATATATTCATATATATATATATATATATATATATATATATATATATATATACATATATACACATGTGCACACACACACACACACGTATATCTATATAAGCACACACATAACATCCTCCCTTCCCCATGCTGAACTGACGCCCCCTCCGCCCATAGGGTCCGGCGCAATTCAACTTTTCGTACGAAGTGAGGCAGCCGGCGTTCGGGAACTCCTTCGGCCACACCTCGCAACGGGACGGAGGGCGCGAGGACGGCAGCTACTTCGTGGTTCTTCCGGATCGAAGGCTGATGACGGTCCGGTACTACGCCGACGCCTCGGGCTTTCATCCGACGATCTCGTACACGCCCATCCAGATGACGGGGATGTTCCAGAACTTCCTTTTCGGCGCTAATGCCAAGCGGGGGAGGCAGATCGCGGGTTCCTTCGGAAATGGGAACTCAGGTGCTGGTTCCTTCGGGAATGGGAACTCAGGCGCGGGTTCCTTCGGAAATGGGAACTCAGGCGCGGGTTCCTTAGGCAACGGGAAGTCGGCTTCTGGATCCTTCGGTAATGGGAACTTCGGCAACGGGAACTCAGCCGCAGGTTCCTTCGGGAATGGGAACTTCGGCAACGGGAACTCGGCTGCGGGGTCCTACAGGAATGGAAACTCGGCTGCAGGTTCCTTCGGCAACGGGAACTCAGGCGCGGGCTCCTTCGGGAATGGGAACTCAGGCGCGGGTTCCTTTCCTTCGGCAACGGGAACTCAGGCGCGGGCTCCTTCGGGAATGGGAACTCAGGCGCGGGTTCCTTCGGGAATGGGAACTTCGGCAACGGGAACTCAGGCGCGGGCTCCTTCGGGAATGGGAACTCAGGCGCGGGTTCCTTCGGGAATGGGAACTTCGGCAACGGGAACTCGGCTGCGGGGTCCTACAGGAATGGAAACTCGGCTGCAGGTTCCTTCGGCAACGGGAACTCAGGCGCGGGCTCCTTCGGCAACGGGAACTCAGGCGCGGGCTCCTTCGGGAATGGGAACTCCGGCAACGGAAACTCGGCTGCGGGGTCCTACAGGAATGGAAACTCGGCTGCAGGTTCCTTCGGCAACGGGAACTCAGGCGCGGGTTCCTTCGGGAATCGAAACCCGGCGGTGACCCAAGCCCCCGCCCCTCTGCCGCCCCTCATTGCTGCGCTGACGACCGCCTCGCCTGCGACTGCTCCGAGACCGACCCCGCGCCCACAGACCACGCCTTCCGTACCGAGGCAACCCACAACCAGGTTCAGACCCGCCGTTGCTGTGACGACGCCCCGCCCGATCATTACCACCGCCGGCAACCCCTCCGGCAACTACCTCCCTCCTCCTCGAGGCTCCCCCTCCACCCCTTTCCTCGGTCTCGCGTCCTCGCCTCGCCCCGCTGTCGTACCGGCGCCAACCACCCCGAGGACGACCACTCCTCCAAGCTCCAGCTCCCCGACGAGGCCCAGAGGCGGACGACCCTTCACCTTTGGCAACGGGGGCGCCGGCACGACTTCGGGAACGACTTCGACAGCGGGCGTCGGCGGCGTGACGTCTCCTTCGGGAACATACCTGCCTCCCTCGATTACTGACGACATTCACGGGAATTTCGGAGGCAGAATAACTCCCAAGAGAAGCAGAAACAACGGGAATAACGGCAATAACGGTAACAACGGCAGCGTTGGTGGCAGGAATGGCAACGGGAATGGCAACACTGGGAATGCTGTTAACGGAAATAACATCGCCATCAACAGTGCTGTAGGTAACAGCAACAGTTTCATTGCCAATTTCGCTAACAGAAATAATAATAATAATAATGCAGGCAACATGAATTATAACACTGGCAACTCAGGAAACAATAACAACGGCAACAGAGGAAATAATAACAGCAATGCGGGAAATTCAAATAACAGTCCAGGCAACAGAAACGGTAACAACGCTAATGGAGGCGGGAGCAATAACGGTAACGCAAGTTATATGAATAACAATAATAACGGGAACACAGGAAACTCAATCAATAACAGCAATAGTGGAAACACAAACAATAATAACGGTAATACTGACAACGGAAACGGAAACAAGGATGTGAACAGTGGGGCCAACGGAAACAGGAACACCAACAACGCCATTAACAGAAACAACGGAAATAAACAAACCGTTAACAACGGGTTTAGCAACGGCTTCGACAGAATTCTCAACAGGAACAACGGGAATACCAATAACGGATTAAATAATATCATCGGAAATAACAGAAAGATTCCTAACGACAACATTGCGTCTAACAGTAATGGTATCGTAAACAAAATTAATGTTAACAATATCAACAGTATAACAAACACGGACACCTTAAAGAACCCGAATAACAGAAATTCGAACGGAAATAACAACAGAAATGTAAACGGGAATAGCAACGGAAATGTAAACAGTCCTACTGCAAACGCAAATAGCAACAGTAACGGAGGAACAAACGGAAACGAGAGTAACAGAAATAACGGAAATGGAGATTCAAACAGAAATAACAACAGGAACAGCAATATTAACGGAGACAACATAAACGCCAACAATAATCCTAACAGGAACAACGGAAGCAATAACAAGAACGGAAACGCAAACAACGGCAACAATAACGGAAATAACGGTAATGGAGCAACGGGTCCTGGAAACACCAACGGAATTAACGCAGTTAACAGCATCAACGGTAATAATAATCTCAACAGAATCAACGGGAATAATATGTACGGTAATTCGAACAGTAATACGAACGGAAACAACGGGAATGGAAACATAAACAACAGAAATAATGTAAACGGAGGAACGGGAAATTTCATTGGTAACAACGGCATTGTCAACAACCTTGGCGGAGGCAACAGGAATAACGTAAACGGTGTTAATAACATGTATGGAAACAGAAATTCTAACAGAAATGCAAATGGAAATTTCAACAGTAACAACGGAAATTTCAACAGTAATAACAGAAATTTCAACAATAACAACGGAAATGTCAAAAGTAACAACGGAAATTTCAACAGTAACAACGGAAATTTCAACGGCAATAATCTTAACTTCAACGGAAATTCGAACCGAAATACAAACGGAAATAATAACAACGGGAATATCAACAACAACAACAACAGAAATGTTAACAACAATGCTAACAGAAGTAACGGGAACAATATGTACGGAAATCCAAACATAAACACAAACGGAAACATCAACAGGAA